CCATTAAAGATTCTTGCCTATCTGATATTTAAGGAAAGATGACAGAGGATGCCTCATCTTTGACAGTTTGGTGGTAGACAATAAAAATTGGAAATGCTTGTCAGAATGCAATTATTTGATCTTTGTTAAGGTTTTTGCTTGGCTTTTTTTTTTCCTGTTTTTAACTGCTAGAGCTATATGCCTTTCTGACTTCGCCGTATCCCAAATTTTAATTCGTATGGACAGATACCTGCACAGTGAGAGGTCTGCCTCCAAATTGTTTAGGAAGATTAAATCTAAATACTATATTAACAATAAAAAGTACAGAGGAAAGAGGTCATTAGGCATACATCATGCAAGAATACAGTGAAATTTATTCAAATTATAAAATATTTTGTACCTCTGAGCCTTTTCCTATTGTTGTCTCATGATTATTCTTACACTGATAGTAAAAAAGTAATTTAAGAAAGAGGTGTAGCTTATGTTAACTCTTAAAACATTGCTTTAAAACTGCCTGTATACAAATGTCAAGTTTTGCTCGATTTAGAAGTCCGCATAAACCATCCTCTGTGCTATAAACAATAAGAATTGCTTGCCTTTTTCTCTGTCAGAATTAGCTGGCATGATGCAAAGGGTTAATGTGCTTGCATTTATACAGAAAGAATAAAGAAGCAAAGAATACTTTATATTTTTAATTCATTGTCTTTCAGCAAGTGTGTACTTTAGAATATTCTAATGACTTGCTGAATTGTTACTTATGACGATGTGTATTACTATGAATGTGTATTCATGAAAAAGGCAGTAGTGAAAGGAAAGTTTTAACCCCCAATTATATTTTTCTGCCTCACAAATTAAGTGGAAATTTGGTATAAATTGTTGGTATGAAATCTCTTACTCATCTTACAGGCCTGATATTCATATCAATCAGCGACTAACTGATTTTTTTCTTTAACTTTAAATTTTTATTTTATTTCTCTTAATAAACTGCAAGGTCAGTCTAACATAGTTTGTGTTTGTGTATGTATGTGTATGTGTGTGTGTGTGTATATATATAGTATGTATTATATAGTCTTTTAGTTCTTCTGTCCTTTAAAAAATTTTTAATGAATTTTGGGGATAACTATTTGGTGCCTCTGTGTGTGTGTTTCTTTATGGGGGATATATTGCCTGCTAAATATTTCTGCCTTGGAAGTAGTTGAGATGTGCATCAGATTTCATGAGTATGAACATTAAAATGTGGCTCTTTCAGAAATTAAAAAAGCTTTTCTGAAATAAGATTATTGGGTAGGGGTATTCTTTCAGTAGCTCAGTGCCTTCTCCTTGCTGCCACTTCAAATGAATTGCTTTTGCAGTGTTGTCTTTTAAGTAGATTTCTCGTGGTGATATCAGAGATTCTGGTGTTGAATATATCATGAGTCATTTGGTTAAAATAGTGCTGCTTAAGATTTATTCTCATCAAAACTGCTGAGAATCGTCGTCATTCTGTCAGTCCTTTCTGAAGAAACAATTTGTACCACAGTAAAGCTCTATTTTGCAAATTCTTTTATGATAGTGCTGGTATAATTTCTAGAGACTTTCTTACAGCTATTACACTTACCAGATAATTTTCTCCTATGCTGTATGTAAAGCTGTAGTAGGTGCTGTTTATATAGTGCTAGCATTCTGCTGCTTAAGATGCATTATTGTATGTTTTTATGAAGTGTGATTAAAAATACAGATAGTCAAGTATTAAAATCTAGTGGCTTTTGTTTATTTTAATTTAGCTTAATTTAATGTTCTCCAACATTTCTGGTAAAACTACTGTTTCCTGGGAACCTAAGGAAACTTAGGTTTAATACTCTAGACTGGGCTTTTCAGAGAGGCACAAGGAAGTTCAATGTCAGGCTCCAGCTGAAAATTGGTGAAAACTAGGGCTGCTCCCTTAAGCAGTTGAGAAATGCAAGCTAAGGCCATTCTCCACACTGTTTTTGTTGTGTGTTAGTAGAATGTAGAAGTGTTATCTACATTTTTTGAGAAATAACTCCTTGAAAAGATGTAAATACTACTTTTGGAAGCAGTTTTTTTAAACCAATGCTCTCAGTAGTAGGGGTCTGTTTTTTCAGATGCTAAAAATAATTTAACATCTAATATTGGAAGAATAGGTGAATAACATTAAAATTGTGCGTATGTATAACAGTATGACTGTGGTTATAATATTATGGTCTGTACAACCTTGATTCAGATCACTTGTGTCTGTACATCGTGACAGGATTTATGGCCCCTGCCTATTCTACTAAAGTAATCTTTTTACATCTATGGTTATCCGTTTCTTGATGACCAGCTGGTGACTATTGAGTCTGACTTAGATATACTTGGGATCTCATAACTACAATTAAAGTTGGGGAATGTGATTATAATACTGAACATCTTGAAAAAGATTGTCCTGGGTATCTCACATTTTTCTCCCAAAATAAAGATGTGTTTACACTAACCTATTGTGACTCTGTTTGCCTTTATTGACGGATATGTTGTGAAAACTTATTTTATGAAAGCTCTTGCTGAGAATAATGGGTTCTGTAAAGAAGGCAAGCATGATTCCTTAAGGTGTGATGAGTCAAGTAAAGAATTGTTCATTATATGAGCAGTATCATTTTTGTATACTGAATGAAGTAGAACTCAGTTGTAGGAAAAAAACCACATGTCATTTGGTAATTTAAAACTCTCTATTACCTGTCTGGAAAAAACAGGAAAAATCTGAAGTTACACATAATTACTTACTGGGAACAGTTTATGCTATAGCATTTTTAAAGACCAACTAAATTTGAGTGTCTCACATCAGGACGGTATACCCTGTCTAGTGTATTTACAGTTTTGAGATACTTGAGCATTCTCTTTGAGAAAGCAATGTGAAGATAATTATAGGCGTTGGACAAAACACCAAGCTGGTTCGGTTTTCTGTCTCTCATGATGGCTTAAGAAGACCCTACAAGAACATGGAGAGGCATACAATGCTGGTTTCCTTAGTGAACTTGTAGCAGTCTGCAGTTTGGGAACTGCCTGAACCAGAGACTTTCTTCTGTGTTTAGCAACACTTGGTATACTTTCGTGTCCCTCAAGGATTTATATAATCTTTTTGAACTCATCTATATTTTTGATATCTGCAGTATAGTGTAACAGTAGTTCCACAGCTTAACCGCATATTTGTTTGTGTGTTTTGGGCAGTTCTTAATCTTGATACCTAATGATTTCATTTGTTACCTTAGTTATTTTATTTCTAGAAATAATGAAAAATTGTTCTTTACTTGCCTTCATACAATTTTTGATTTTTATCTTGCTAGTATCTTCTTAAGTATTCTACTTTTTCAGCCTAAATAAAAAGTCTAAGTGTATTTAGTTCCCTTCATAATTAGAAGAATTCTTTTATCCTTTTCTGTATTTTTTTAATGTTCTCCTATACTTTTTTTCTGATGGGGGGAGGGGAGCTGGGGACAGAAGAGAGGAGAGACTGAAATGGTGTGCATCACTCAAGATATGAGCACACAAAGACTTCATACCACAGCATAAAGCATTTCTGGTTTTCTGTTGAAGGTTTGGGGGAGGGTACATTTGTGTCATTTTCCCCCTTCAATACTTTCCTTGAAGTTCTAACATTCTATTTGCTTTTTGGATTACCACTGGTGTTTTCTCATAGGGTTGTCTGTGGTAACTCCAGGTTTTGGTTTTTTTTTCCCCTCAGTTATAACACTATGCACGGTTAATTATCATACTTCACGTGGATTACTCATTTACCTATTTGGAATTTTATCTGCCATGTTATTTTCAGCTACTTAATATTTTAATACTGTGGTGCAGTTTTCAGCAGTCAGCTTCGATTTCTGTTGTAGTGGATAATTTACTAAACCAAGAAAACCAGCTTCCTCAGCTGTTCATATATGACTGAATCAGGCAGGATGAATTCTTGTAGTGACCTCCTTGCACTGAAAAAGCTGAATATTTTTTTTTTAACCTTCTGAGTTTTTATCTGCTAATATAGCTCTTCATTCATAAGAGGACCCCCCTTTTTGCACCCATAATTGTTTAGTGTTTTTAAGACCCTTTTGTAACGGAACTTGTTAAGTACCTTGGAAATCTGAGTAAGTCAACCATATCATTGTTCCTTCCTCCTAAGTCCTTTGAGCAATTATTAATAGAAATAATTATTACCATCTACAAAAGTAACTCATTTTTTCACATAGTACCCTGTTTGTGTATCTACTAATTCTAACCTTTACTGTTTCTACAGGTTTGCCTAGTAGAGGTATTGTACTGTACTTGAGTACAGTTCCCAGGAGCCCTTTTTATTTAAAAAAAAAAAAAGCCCATGTTTGCCACTTCTTACTCCAGCATGGAGTGTATTTTTAACCAAATACATTAACACCTAGATTCAATAATTTAAAGCTCTGGAAAGAACCTTTTGGTCCTGGTGACTATTTCTTTTACTGTTTATGTTCAGAAAACTTTATTTTTGAGATAATTCCTCTAGCTTATTCTCATTTAAGTCTAGTATGGGAGCCTCAGAAAGTTCCTATATACTAAACACTGATGGGAAGAATTCATTGGCTTTTCTATGGGTTTTTGGAACTTCAGTGCTATAAAGCCAGTAATGAAAGCATAAGTTGTGCAAATATGGGCAGACTATTTTGAGGACAAAAAAAAGCATCTCTCTTACTGCAAACTCTTGCTAAATTCTAGGTATGGGAGTTTTAGGTTATTACAAAGGAAGAAATCATCAGCTTTTAAAATTGTTTTTGAATACTGAAACTCTGATGGTTTTTTGCCCTCTTGCTGTGTTCAGTCACTAAGCTCATTTGGTTGAAATTTTGCTCAGAAAAGGTCAGTCTGAAACAAAAAAAGTGTTCTGGAAGATTTTAGCCTGAATGGTTACTGTTTGCTGTAACAATGAGTAATTGAAAATAATAATGAGATCAGCCAGACCTGTAGTGCCAGTAGGTGACTGTTTTTTGTTGTTGTTGTTGTTGTTTTTTCTCCCCACTTTTTTTAAGCCTATGGAAAAGTGTTCCTAGTAAGGAAAGTAAGCGGCCATGATGCTGGAAAGCTGTATGCCATGAAAGTACTGAAGAAAGCAACAATAGTTCAAAAAGCCAAAACAACTGAGCACACAAGGACAGAACGACAAGTGTTGGAGCACATTAGGCAATCACCGTTTTTGGTCACGTTACATTATGCCTTCCAGACAGATACAAAGCTTCATCTCATTTTAGGTGAGTAGTTTTCAGGATTCAAGTCTTATGTTAATGAAGAAAAAAAAAAAATCTGCCCTTTTATCTCCTTAATGTTTTGTAGGTTTTTTTTCATGTGGTCTTAAGTACTGTGTGTTTGGAGATTGCATGAGAGACCATAGGAAGTAAAATACTGTTCATCTTCAACAGTGTCTGTGTGGTTTTCCTGTTTGAACTTTAGTGTGCTACTCTGACTTGGGGGGCGGGGGGAAGTAGTATCAGTGACTTACATGCAGCAAAAAATGTATATGGCCACAAGTACCTAAACCAGATAAATACTTTCTTGAACTTACTTAAAAGGTGAAATTTTTATTTGCACTTTTTTAACCATTATTATATACTGCATTAGTTTTCTACAGATTTTCAGAAAAACTGCTGTCATGAATGAAAAAGTTCTTAATCTGTATGAATATGGGCATTAAAGTGATTCAGTTTATTCTCTCTGCATGCTGCCTTTGTGTATGTGGCACAGAGGTTATTGGTAAGGTGGGATGACCAAACATGACTTTGTTACTGGGATTAGTTGGTAGGAAGGAAAAAGAAAGTAAGGAAATGCTTAAGCAGCAGAAAGCCTTCCAATTCAAACATACTGCACATTTCACTCTCAGAACACGTTGTATATTGTCCTCAATGTGATCAGTGTTTTTGAAATGTCATCTGAGAGGACAGTGCTACCTGTCATTATGCTGAGCAGTTAGTATGCTGTTTTAGCACTGAAATGCTGCAAACTGAGAGATCGTATCAGGCAGGTCTTTTTTTCTGAAGAAATTCGCTCATAATGTGGGCGATGCCAGTTAAAGATGATTGTACTTCCATTTATTTCTGGTCAAATTCCTTACAACGCTGGAATCTACAAGTTGTTGGTACGGTTTCCTGCTGTAAAATGCTGGTGAAAATACTTATATTGTGGGTAAGTTTTTTGGTTTATGCATTGTGACACTTCATTTTAGTAAGTTCTGCCAGTAACTTTCATGTATCTCCTTTTACGAGAGATGCTTGATAATGAACTATTGTATAGCAAGCCTTATTAAACTTTCTTCATTCTGCTTCTGTCCTTGCCATTTTGCTTTCCATTTTGATGTGAAGAACCACATCTATTTCTGTAGTATTTGCCAGGTTGGCAGAAGACTGATCAGGAACTTTCTTAGGGTTTTCAACTCAGATGTAACTTCCATATGTGTGTGTGTCTCTATCCCTACCACTATCCTTTTTCAGGACAGTAACATTTTGGGGAAAGACGCTGAGATTAAGAAGTTCTATTCCTTTTGCTTTATTCTGCAATTTTGTTGCCTTTGAAGGGTCTTGTCTTTCTCAGGAAGATGAAGGATTTTTCCTGATAATGAGGAACATTTACTTCAGGAGCTGGAAGAGAGTATTAAAACCAACTCTACACCTTACTACTTGAGGAAGCATTTGCTGCCAAAACTTTTTGTTATGAAACCATTTGATCTTTGAGTATTGAGATACTTGCATGTTTCAATTTTTGGGTGTTAAGAGGCAATCCAAAATCACACATTTCTGAAAGTAGAGCTTGTTCAAAAGGCTTGGTACCACTCTAAAATCAGAAATATTTCTACCTTTCAGAGGAGCAGCATGTTTTGTGTCTGTTATATAAGATGTATTTGTAAGAAAATTACAAGCAATTTTTAAAAACTGCTTGCTTAGAGTATTTTAAAAGAACTGGAAAATGAATGATGAGTTAATGCTTGGATGCAGAATACATTTTTGTAGTGAATTATTTGAAGAAATAAATAGTCCTTTAATTGAAGTACAAGTTTTGCAATTCCTTTTAGCTTGTAACTTCCATTTATTGAACCTTTATTAATGGGCTGATTTAGACATTCAATTAATAAAATTTTATTAATGTTATATGAATCTACACCACTGGCTGTCAATTCTTAGGAAGGTGTTGTATGCACATACCTTAGTTTCGTGTACTACAGTGAGGTAATACAGGTGTCTGAGGAGCTCAAGCTTAAAAGGAGCATTCACTAGATTCCTTTTGAAAATGAAAGTTGAAAATTCTTACAAATTTCTCTGACTAGGACATAAAAGACATATGTAAAAATATTGTCACAGGCTGGAAAATGCTAAAGAGAAAGAAAAAGTTAGAAATACATCGGTAACTTTGTGATTCCTTGATGTTAACCTTTAATAATTAAGGTTTCATATTTTATTTTTTTGGTATTTAAGTTATTGATTAATAGTTTGGAAAAAAATTTGAAAGATTAAGTAAGACAAAATATGAACATGTATTATAGCTATTATAGAACCATTCTTCAAATCCAGATATCTTTAGCTAGAATGCAGTTTAGATCCCATTAGAAATATTAAAAAAAAAAAAACCAGAAAACCAAAACAAAAAAACCCTCACACCTGAGATGGGTGTAGTTACCTAAAAATAAATACATAGTAATGGAGAAATTTAGGTGACAAGGAATAATTAGGAGGGCAGAAAAACCTCTTATATGAAGGGAAAATTAAAAGCTTGACACTATATTCTTGTAAGAATCAAAGAGGAGGGAGCCCAGTAGTTCTGAAGAACATTACATAGCAGGTAGTGTGGACTGGGCACATGCCCACCATAACACAATGTTAAGGTGATGTTTAAAGCAAGAAATTCAAAGCTGATATATAATTAAAGGCTTTTTTTTGTTTGGTTTTTTTGGTTTCCCACAAAGTCTACATGAATCCATTCTCAGAATATCAGTTGGGGCCCGAAAGGTCCTTTTTTACTTCTTTTTTAGTAGAAAATGGGAATAATTAGAGGGGGTTTAAAAATTTATTTTAATCACTTTTTGTAACAGGGAAAATCTCTTCTACCTAACATGGCCTAAAGCTACTTTGTAATTCAGCTGGGCTTCACACCCTCCCTGACAAAAAAAAAAAACTGTTTGTTGCAAGTTTTTTATGTCTCATTATGTAAATATTTGTAAATCACTTCTTTGATTTAGTTTTGGAATTTATATGTTTCAGAGGCTTCTGAATTTTTGGGGAAAGTCTCTGCCTTTGTCTTTGTACCTAGCTGAACTTGGTCTATGAGCAACATGTCATTTCAGTCTCAAGAGGTTTTAGAATTGGAGCCTCAGTGCAATACTTAATACAATTCTTTGTGCTGTCAGATTACATAGCCATATGAATTTAGTCTGGATCAAGTGCAGACATGCAGCTGCATTTCTGCCAAATTTCCAGAATACGGGGTTTGGAGTTGATTCTGGTTTTCAGGTTGACTTTAAGCTATGATTTAAAGAGCAAAGTATTATATCCATGTAAATACCAGTTGTATACAAAGCTTGTCACACGAGGTTAACCTACTAATACTTTAAAAAAAAAAAAAACAGAATCTGAACTGTCAGATAGAGTTTATATTGAAGTAACTGATTTTTTTTTTTTCCTTCCGCATTGTGTCAGTGGTGCATTTGATCTAGCACCAAGAATTTGAGGGCTTGTTTCATTGGGCTGTGGTTAGTGTTATAACCTGAATAGAATTAGGCTTGTTCTGCCACTCCTGTAGCAGCTTTGGTTTGTATCTGTCACAGTCCTTAGAACAGTACCTGGGAATTCGGTTCTTGCCTTGTACTAAGTTAGCAGTTCTGATTAGAAATATTTTAAAAATTTGTTTATATTTGTTTTCTCCATGATTAGAATGCTGAAGTTTTCTTTGGAAGAAAGAAGCAATTGTAACATGTGGGTTATTTATACTTTATTATAATTTTTTTCATATGCTTACTGATCTAGATAAATAATCTTTCTCACGTTCTTTAATTCCACTAATATTCCTTCTGAAACAGAGAACTGGAGAACTAAAAAGAGGAGAGAGGTCAGAATGTCTATAATTTGTATATCTGCTTTCTCCTTCAGAGTATTAACTTTTTTATATAATAGGATTGGACCTTTTTCATGGATTTATGTATTATACCAATGAATCTATAAAAACCATATTTGAGAAAATACTAAGTAAGATGTTGTGGGGCACGTTCCCTGCTCTGTATATGTAGACCTCAAATAGAATATGGGGGCTGTAGGGTTGCAAATTAATGGCTTTAATGTACACTGCTAGCACAAACAGCTCTGCCTCTAAAATGTGTTTGTGTTGCAGTGGAGCTCTATTGTAATAATTACTTTTTTCCCCTCTCCCTGACTGTGGGAAAACCCTTGTGTCTTAGCCTGCAAAGAATGAAAGTGTGGTTTCCATGAGGGAATGTATGTGGAAATAATCTCCTTCAGTAAGTTTTGCCATCGAAGTTCCCCTTGCAAAGGGTAAAACTTGTAATTGCCCATAGCTGATTATTTCACCTAATACCTGTTTTCTGAATTGCCTGTCTTTATGTCAGTCTGCCTTGTTGCTCTTAAGTATTTTATAAGTGTACAAGTATTCTGTTTGTAGATATCATTTGTAGTCCTTTCTTTTCATATTCCTAAATAACTAAAAGACTGATTTTGCAAAAAATATTCATCTTTATAATTTATGGATATTTGAGGCTTATTGTATAGTTTTGCTGCTTATTTACAAGTTGGTTATGTTCTTCCATCAGTCCTCTAAGAAGGAAATTGAGTATTGTACAACATGATGAAATATTACTGAATTACAAGAAAGTAAAAGCATCTGAGCCCAGAACATCTTATTTAATAACTTACAAAGTACCTATTAATATTCCAGTGAGAAAATCAAGTTGTCAGAAAGTGAAGTTATAAGGTTCTTTGTTCTACTTTTTAGACTATATAAATGGAGGAGAATTGTTTACTCACCTTTCACACAGAGAGAGGTTCTCAGAAAATGAGGTGCAAATTTACATTGGGGAAATCGTTTTGGCACTTGAACATCTCCACAAGGTAAAGTAACTTTATCCTAGTACTGATTTTGTAGAACTACAACTGTATTCTTTTCACATCATCTAAAGTTAGTAAGGAGAACTATTTTTTTAGATTGTTTTAAATTCAAAGTAACTATCCAGCAATGGGACATTAGTTGTATAATGAGAAATACTTCCCAATGAAGTGTCTATTCATGTGCACCAGATTAAGGCTACAAGTTTTTGTCTGCAGCGTGAAGAGTGTTATTACTGACAAATGATTGTTAATTTTTAGTAATCATTATGAAATGGTGTATGTCAGTAAAACTAACTTGTAGGTACATGAACAGTGTTTGGGTTGCATTGTTGTTCAGTTGTCCTTGTTTTGATACAATTAAATAGCAGAGTTCTGAAATTTTGGCACAACTGTAAATATGAAAAATGTTATAGTTTTCAGAGGTAGTAAGTAGATTTGTAGACTATTACAAGCCTGCATGTATGGTCCAGAACATATTACAGAAGCGTCCATTTTCATTCTTAATGAAAGCTGAACTGAGTTTTGTACTCAACAGCAAGTATTCAGTCACTTTTAAGTATGCAGTCACTTTTAGATTCAAAGGATATAGTATGTCCTTTAAAATTTAAGACATTCGTGCACAGTGTAATTTCTGAGAATTTTTAAGTCGCTCAAAGTTATTTCTTCAAAGGCATTTTAAAATTGTCCTTTTTGAGGTGCAACTTTCAGGTGTCAGATTACCTTGATAATGGGAATTTTGCTAGCTTCGTATTTAATTGCATTCAACAATGTCTCCTTGATGTGGTTACACTGATTTGGAAATACTTTTTCTTATATTCTGTTTGCAGTTGGGGATTATATATCGGGATATTAAACTTGAGAATATTCTCCTTGATTCTGATGGCCACGTGGTGCTGACAGACTTCGGTCTGAGTAAGGAGTTTCTTACTGATGAGGTGAGTATTTGAATCTCCAGTAAGTGTGGACAGAATCCAGCAATATCACAAAGTCAGATTCTGTCTCATTGAAATCATAAACACATTTCAGAAGGGAGAAAAACTGCCTTCTAGACTCTTACTTCATAGAACAAAATCTAATAGTCTGTTTTACTGGGTTTTGAGCTTTCAGTTCATTGATCTTTGGCCTGCCAGTGTTGTCAGACGTTTTGTCTGTTCTAGTTTTCTTGAAATGCCTTCATGCTCCCTCCTGCTGCCCTTTATGTGAAAAAGGAGAGATCCACATTAGTCTGAAAAGCCACTTACATTATCATTTTCAGATGCCTTTTTAAAAATGCTTAACTGTGCTAATACTTTGCAGTGACTAGGCAAATGGTATGCTATGACTCTTCTTTATGCTAATAATAATGTATTATTATCTTGTCTCTTTCTCATGTCTTTGTGTCACTTTTGATAAGCTTAATTGCAAGCTTTTAGGATAAAAGCTTATCTCTTACTAAATATGTGCATAGTACCTAACATAGTGATCTCTGACTGTTGACGTTAGTTTAAATTATTTGTAAGGTACAGTTTTATCTCCTACTATGCTTTTTAGATTTAAGAGTCAAAATTGTGTAGGATTTTACTTCTGAGAGAATTTTAAAATGGCTATTTTTTGGCTTTCACTTTGGGTATCAGAGGTATTGAAATCTGGGACTGCAGATCTAAAAGTCTTTGTTAGAAGCAGCAGAGGGGTTTTCTAAAAATAGATAACTAGTAGTTTCCTCTAGAATATTTGCATTTCAAATGGAGTCTGGTAGGATTTGGGAGGTACCATTTTAAGACATATGAAATGTTACTTTCTGAAGCAGGGAAATAGTACAGATAATGTTAGTATATTCCTTTTAAATTATAGTGTGAAACCAAGAGGAGATTCAACTGGCATGACAAGGGATTAGCAGCAGATTGCCAGACCAGTGCAAGAGAGGAAGTACAGAGGGATGGAGTTTTCAGCGGGACATAATGATAGTAAAAGGTGTGGCTAGGGAGAGTAGGACCTGCTTAGAGTTGTGAGAGAAGCTGTGCTGGGCACAAGTGACAAAGTAAAGTACATGGAATGCTGTTACTGCACCAATGGGAGAGAAAAGGAGCAGTCCTCCAGCCTTTGAGCCAAAGTTGAATGAAGCCGAAATCTTGCCTGTGATTCTAATATTATAATGAATCAGGATCTTCTTTAAGTCTCAAAACAGATGGTTTTAGGAAATATACTTATTTCTCATCTGTGCTCACCTTTGGGATGTCATTTACAGGCAGTGCAAGGAAAGGGGAGGACTTGGATAAGCATCAGAGATGCGTGCTTTTCCCACACACTGAATTGGATTCCTCTTCTCCAGTCATTAAATAAAACAGTGTTGCTGCTTGGTCATTTAATGTTGGTTCTTCTGACTGATCCATTCTGTTTTCAGTATATGACTCAGAAATCTCTTCATTTAACCATATTTTTTTCTCATGTTCTCCTTCACATTTTATGTCTTCCCTTTCAAAAAAGCTAAACATTTCTAGTGTTTCTTTTAAGGAAAAAAGTAATTGCAGTTGTGTTGTTTGGTTTCAAAGTCTAAGAAGTTGTCTGCACTTGACTACAGTTCTCATGTGTGCTGCTGTAATTTAGCTACTAAACCTAAACATTATTAGAATGACCCATTTACACGTAGAAATTGACATTTCATATTGTATTCTTTGTAGACAATTCAGCTACTACTAGAACACTTACAATTCACATTACAAAAGATACTTAACTTACACTTCTGAACCAATGTATTTACAAGAGTAAAATTTGCCTGTATAACTGCATAGCTTTGTATCTGTTTTCATGCTCATTGGTTAGCACTTTTAAATAAAATTACACAGCTGCATAAGTCAGATAAGAGTGTAGCAGTTGCAATTTAATCAGAGCAGTATGCTTTCCTTTCTCCCCCTTTTTTCACACTTCTTTCCTAGCCCAGCTTGCTTCTTGCAAGAACTTTGCCATTAAAAATGTATACTTATGCAAGTGGAATTTATTCTAGTAACTTCCCTCTTTGGATTGTATTTTTTGAAATAAGATATATTTGGGTTATTAAGAATATATAAACATTATGAGCAATTACAAGCATGTACTATGTTTAGAATTCTTATCAGAGAGAATTCTTTGCCGTTTATTTATGAATTTTGGATGGTTTTGTAGTTAGGGATACTTGCTAGGAAACATCATAGTTCAATGTTTTCATTATCGCTGCTTTAATCTGATGGTTGTTAAATATTTCCAGGAACCTGACCAAGTATAGAATCTGACAGAAGTTGTTTTATAATAGAGTGTACTATTTCTTGACTACAATAACTATAAGCAGATTAATTCACTATTCAACAATGAAGAGGTGGGAAGCTGCTTCTCCTAAGCACTGTTGGAGTGAAAGGAAGCAAATGCATGTGACTTCTAGGAAGACAAAAACCTATTGATTTCTGCCATGCAGCTACTGAAGCATGAGTGTGAAGAGTGCATTGTCAAGTATCCTCTTTGTTTTACAATTATTATGTGATAGTGCTTATAACATGCAAGAATTACAAATCCAAGCTGAAAAAGCAGTGCTGTTTTAAGAGCTCTAAAGCGTTTTATACTACTATTTTGCTAAAAACTGAAATTTGTCTTGTACAAGTGAAATGGCAGTCTGGTTTTACCTTTGTTTTTACCTTTTAAAAAAAACAAAACCACTAAATTGGTATTTTTTTTGCTATCTTATTTCTCGTGTAGTATCTTTATCTTCTGGATTTGTGGCTTAGGCATATTTTTATCTTTTTATCTCATCAATAGCTCTACATGCATGCTGAAATTGTTTTGATTTGGTTAATGTCAGTTTAACCTAGTCATCAGGTCTGGTCTTCATTTTAATGTTTATTGTTAAAATGCTACTTCATTTTTTTAAAATCTTTTTTTCCCCCTCACATTTCCTTTAGTTCTGTAACTATGCTAAAAATCATGCTTCAGTATATATGGAGATCTTTACATCTTAGAAAAAATAATCGGAACAGATTCATTGAATTATTGTAGTAGTAATCTATTCTGTCAGACGATGCATAACAATTAACATTTTTCTTGTTAATTAAATCCCATAAAGTATACTTTATTCCAGGGTATAGTGAAATGCTCAATTCTTCTGCATTGGTACACATCTTCTGCATTAGCTTAGGTTTGTTTTGAAGATTTTGTGTTTGCTTAATGAAGTTTAAAAAAAATTATGTGGTAAATACTGAACGTTGTTGGTTTTCAAACAATATATCTGAGAGCATACAAATGCCTTAGTAATAAATAATACCAGAGTAGATATTCTGCATGAGGGATGATTGAATTGTAATCTAACTCAGTTGGATGGATATCTGTGTAATTCTGTCTGATGTGTAGAATGAATAGTTCAGATACATTATTGTTTTCCCATCGAAAATATCTTGATCAGAGTTGCAAATTTAGTTATAACTGTCAGATGCTTTTCACTGTTGAATTGTTTGGTTTTGTGTATTAGCTGGTTGACTGAACATTTTGTTCTCGAAAGAAAATTAGTATGTAATTTTAAAAGATTTTGAAGGAAAATTCATTAAAGGAAAAATGATAAAAAGGTGGTTAGTCCACTATGGTTTTTGGTAGATGAAGTAGGATGTACACATTCTCTAGAGCAGTTTAAAGGTAGTCCAGAACAGAGGGAAATGACTACAACTTGACTCTTGTTTAGTGCTGTATGAACCGTCATCTTACTTGAGTGACCTGGTAGATTAGCTGTGCATTTCACTTTAAAAGACCCTTTATAATTGTCTAATTAAAGTGATAATATCTGATCATTGAAATTTGATAGTGCATCCTCTGAACATTGAGCATTCTCTTGGGAAGATGAGTTAGAATAATCCATACTGTAGATGACTGTTACTATACCTGCTTGCGTTTTAGTTAAACAATTGTTCAGTGATGTAGACATAGCACAGTTATAAATAGATTTACATTTCTGCAAAGAGGAAAAAGTAAGAAAGAGTAGTGAAGTTAGTCCACAGAAGTTAACATTGGTTATAGATCTGTCTGGAAAATTAGTCATTATTTCCCTTATTTTAGAAAAGAAAATGAAACAATGGCAAAAACTTTTTGCTTTAATTGGTGTACTTCTGTTGGTGTTTCAGTGTCCTGAAATTGATTACTGAGAACATAACAAACACTCTAAAAGCACATAACCGACCTGGACTCATTTAATTGCAAAACCAGGTCATCAATGATCAGATGACTGTTTGTGCCTTAGCCCAAGAGGTATGCCTTTTTCAGTGCTTATCATGAAGATGATTATGCTTTCCCAGCATGGAGCAGAATTTTTGCAAGACAGATCATGATTTCTTACTGTGACTGCTCTAAGGATACTGTTTTCTTATTGTAATATACCATTTAAAAAATCACGTTTTGGGGAGAAGTACTGATCTGTGTGTTAAATAGCATGGTATCTTCTGTCAGATCTTAGAAAAATATATTGCTAGTCAACTTGGGAAAATTTTGTTTCTGTTTTCCAAGGGAAGAAAAGTAACTTTTTGAGGGCGAACTCTGCCATCCTCATGAATCTTTTTTCTCATAGATGTTTTTTTTTTTTTACTGCTTGAATTACTGCAAATACCTAACTTCGATGAAATTTAGGCAATCAGGTGTGAAAAACTTACATGACCAGAGATTCATGGCCATATGAAAATGAATTTAGAACCAGGTGGATTGCATTTGAGCAAATTTTCCGCTAGTACTCCTCTACCTTTTACATCTGGTGCTCTCTGATACTATAAATGTTTATTTGGCATCTCCTATGCATTTTTTTCTTTACATTCTCTCTTTTAAAAATAAATTTTTGAAGTGGCAGCTAGTAGAATTCTTCCCAGAGTCAGTACTCTTTTATACCTTATAATTTTGTCTCTATTTGAAGAAAGAGGATTTTTTCAGGTTTTGCTTTGTACACCATTCTTCTCTCTTT